AAGCTGATCACCAGCCTTGTCTTAGGAGGTACTCTGGGTAGATTTAAACAGCTGTGGAGCACTAGTTGTTAGTATCACCCAGGGACTCCCCAAATGGTGTGATGAATTTGCATTCTGTTAATACGAGCAGTTGGTTTCTCTTTTATTTGAAAATTTGCCACTCAGATACATACTAAGGGGCATGAGAATGCCAAGGAGCTGGGACTTGGAGGTGGAACCGATCTGAATTCAGGCTTTTTCACTCTGTAGTCAAGGTACCACAGACAAATTATCCAGCCTCTGAAAGTCTCAGATTTCTCTCCTGGGTAACAGGAATCCTCTAGCCTTGTTTTGACAGATAAACAGATTACATGCAGTGCCTCGTGCAGAAGTGATATTCAATAAATATTTATTCCTTTTCCATATCCTTCAAAACTGTGCTATTTTCTAGGTATGTATATATAATTATCTTCACTAAAGATCATGCATAACTTTACTCAGCTTGTGTTCAGATCTGTGATTATTCTGAATATCTATGATATTAGTACAAATGAAAGACTGAAAACTGCTAGTTATCTATGGAAGTGTAACGTGTCTGCGATTAGTAAAGATTTTGGAATCCCTGGGTGGTAGCAGGAGTCCAGGATGCTGTAGGATAAGCACTGGACTACTAACTCAATGTCAGCAGTCCAAACCTCTCAGCAGTTCTGTGGGGGAAAGATGAGGCTTTCTGCTCCTGTAAAGATTTCCAGTCTCAGAAACCCTACGTAAGGTCGTCATCTGTCAGAATTGAGCCGATGGCAGTGCGTTGAGTTTGGGTTTGGGTTTGGGGTTAGATTGTGCAAATGGTTAAGCACCTGGCTACTAACTAAAAAGTTAGAAACTTGAAGCCACCCAGAGATGCCTCAGTAGAAAAAACTGACGATCTATAGAGTTTTGAAGAATCACTACCACTGAAAATTCCATGGAGTATAACTCTCCTCTGAAACCCCCTCGGTCGCCATGACTCAACAACAGCTGGTTTCAGTTTTTAGTTTTAGGTTTTTGGGGGTTTTTTTTAGGAGGGATTTTAATTTTCAGGCTGAGGGATAAAAACCAAAACACCAAACTCACTGCCATGGGGTCAATACTGGCTTATATGACCTCATAGGATAAAGTAGAGCTTGCCCCTAGGCTTCCCAAGGCTGTAATCTTTATAAAAGCAGACTGCCATATCTTTCTCCTACAAAGCAGCTAGTGGGTTTGAATTGCCCGCCTTCCAGTTAGTAGCCATTCAGGTGCTTAATCCACAGAGCCACTAGGATACAGGGATGGTTGGTTGGTTGGTTATGTGCCGTCGAGTCGGTTCCGACTCATAGCGACCCCTGTACAGGGTTTCCAAGGCTGTAAATCTTAACGGGAGCAGAAAGCCTCATCTTTCTCCCGCGGAACAGCTGGTAGTTTCGAACTGCTGACCTTGTGGTTCACAGCCCGATTCGTAACCACTACGCTACCAGAGCGGGATAGTGTTAGCAAATTAGGATCAGTTCTGTGAAAGTCACAGACAGTGTAAGATATGACATTCAGGGCAAAAAAAGAAACAAATGGTTTCAAAATTCTATAAAAATATTTTGATTTTTAACAGATTCAAATACAGTCTCAAAATAGTTACACTCTTCAGTTAAGAACTTATGTTTCAATCTTTCTCTTTTTTTCTCCTTTTTAGGTCTGGCTGGATCTCTTAAAACCTATTGTGAAACAGATTAGAAGTAAGTATAAATCCTGTATACCAGTGATGTTGAATATAAAACCAGATATTTTCACTGTTCAGACATCCTCTGCTCTGAGCCATCAGTACCTAAGGCTACCGATTCTTCTTTTACCCGATTGTTTTCCATCACCAACTAATCCCTGTACTATTAAAATGTATCTTCTGTAATTTTTAATACATAACAATTTGGTAATCAAAATCTCACTTGGAATATCAAATACCACTTGATTAACAACTAAAACATGTTACTAAGCCTAAGAATATTTTGACGTGTTTTGGCAACGCCAGCATGTCTTAATGTCATTTTTGAGAGAGAGAGAGAGAGGTCGAGCCATGTATTCACAAAACTTTTTAATTTATCTGTTCTGCCTCTCCAAAGCCTGTAAAGTCAGAGGGCAAGTGTTGTTTGGAAACATAGGTGCCTGAAATTGTGTGTGTGTTGATGGCAAGCAGTCGGGAGAGATCATGGTTTGAACCTAACCTAGATTATGTGCTAGAGAGAAAAATTAAGAGTCTAAGAGAGGAGTCCTGGTGGCACAGTGGTTAAGCACTTGGCTGCTAGTCAGAGGGTTGGCAGTTCAAACCCACCAGCCGCTGTGCAAGAGAAAGAGGTAGCAGTCAGCTTCCATAAATAAAAAGTGCAGACTCAGAACCCCTCTGGGCGGTTCTACTCTGTCTGTGAGAGTCACTGTGGTTCAGAATCGACTCAGTGGCAGTGCAAAGAGGTGTAAGGAACCCTGGTGGCCCAATGGTTAAGCACTTGTTAACTGGAAGATTGGTGGTTTGAATCCACCAGCCACTCTGGGGGCAAGACATGTGGCAGTCTGTCTTCTTAAAGATTCTAGCCTTGGAAACATTATGGGCCCATTTGACTCTATTGTATAGGGTCTCTGTGAGTTGGGATCAACTCTAAGGCAGTGGGTTTCAGAGAGCCTGGAGTACAATGGTGAGTCATCAACAGATACACAGAAGGTTAGCAGTTCGGTCCACGCAGTGGTACCATGGCAGTAGGCAACGTGATCGGCTTCTATAAATGCTGTTGTTAAGTGCTGCTAAGAGTTCCGATTCATAGTGACCCTGTATAGCATTTCCAGGGTGCGGCTGGTGGGTTTGAACCACTAACCTTGTGGTTAGCAGTTCAGTCCAGAAAATCCTCCAGAGACATTCAAACCTGTAATTGCACCAGGACACCAGTAGTCAAAGCCCACTTGATGACACTCACTAACGCACTGGACCGCAAGGTCCGTATGAACTACAAAGTCGGAGGTTCAGACTCACCAGCTCTTCCTTAAAGACCCTATACAGGGTCACTTTGAATCAGAATGAACTCCAGAGCACTTAACAGCAACAATAGGAGACGGAGGAGTCCCTGGGTGTAGCTAACAGTTAAGTGAGGTGCCTACGAAGGAAGGCCTAATCATGTGCTTCCAAAATCCCAGCCACTGAAAATCCCACGGAGCCCCATTCTCCCCTGACACCCATGAACTCACCAGGGGCCAGAAGACTCTCCACAACACCTGGTTTGTAAGTTTGGTGGGAGGAGAGTACGAAGTTGCAGATCAAGTCGATTCTGACTCACGACCACACCATGTGTGTCCAGATAGAACTGCGCTTCCTAGGCCTGAATGTTACGAAGTAGATCACAAGGTTTTGCTTCCGAGGTGTACCTCTCAGGGAACTCGAAACTTTCAGTTAGCAACTGATCTCGTTAACAGTTGATACCACTCAGGGACTGCAGAAGCATGAAACTCTAGTAGGGTAGATTTTATGTCTTTTTTAAAAAAAACCCACTGAGGCCATTGACAGAAATTTATATGACTGTAATAAACATGCAGTGTAGTGTTTGTATGGTCTTTATGCAATTGAAATGGTTGGTCATCATCTGTCATTTAAGTATTGATGCTGACAAGAAAGCATGGTTTCTCAGATGGGTGTCATCTTGTAGTTGGCAGGTGCCTGAGTGTGTGGGAACACACTGCTGAGCGGTATCTCCAGGCCTGATGGTCAGAGGTAGCACTGAGGCAAGAAGTTACATTTGTCCCTGGGATGGTTCGTGATGGGATGAGTTCATGGTGGAAAGGTGTCTCTTTAGGGCAGACCCTGAAGACAGCATTTTTTGTCGGTCAGTTCAGAATAGGACAGGCTGTTGTCTTTTTCATCTCCACCTATGCAACAAAGCTGATGTTTTGCATTTGGTTTCAGTGTCTCCTTGCTTGGGATTTACAAGGATCTTAGCATCCTCATCCTCACTGGACACACAGGTGCTAGAGACATATTTGGTGACCACAGTAGCAACTGGACCTTGAAGATATTTAAGTTTTTTTTTTTAATCACATAAATACATTCCATTAACTGATTTACATTTTTATGATCTCATTCTTAGATTGTTTAAAGCTTTATATGAGGAGGTTTCAAAAGGTTCATGGAAAAATTCTCTTACCTTGTCATTCTATTTTTTCACAAGTTTGTTGAAGCTGCCCCCTTGTATTTGGGTAAAAGTTGCTAATTAGAGAAGTTATTGAAGACATATAATTTTTTTAAAAATCTAGACCCAGTTTAGGAGTCTGGGGGTGGCACTGACAAGCACTGGAACACATGATGTGCTGTAGAGTTGGTTCCAACTCATAGCAACCCTGTGTAAGGTTTTGGAGGCTGTAAATCTTTACAGGAGCAGAAAGCGTCATCTTTCTTCCATGGAACATATTTTTGAACTGTTGACCAACTGTGCTACCAGGATTTTAATATATGTGTCTGTGTATACACACACACACACACACATACATATATATAGATGGATAGCTATAGATATAGCTAGTTAGATATCTTATCTATCTATATATGTTGTTGTTGTTATGTGCCATCGAGTCAGTCCTGAGTCAGTAATCCTGTATAGGGTGTCGAAGGAATGGCTGGTGAGTTTGACCTGCTGACCATGTGTTTCAAACCGATCTTGCAGTCCATTGCTTTATCCTGCCACATCAGGACAAAAGGGTGAATTAGATCTTTCAGCCAAAAAACAGATCTGTAAAGTGAATAATATCTGTTTAGAACATACTCCTCAGAACAATCAAATCACATGAGACCAAAAGATTAACATTTACCCCAAAACAAAGCTCAGAAGGCAAGAAGGGACAAGAAAAAAGGATGAATGAAATGGGGAGGCCAGAGAGGAAGGAGAAGGAACATTGATTGGATTGCACCTAATGACTCGGAAAAAAAAGTATAAATTGTTGAGTGGAAAACTAATTTGCTCTGAAAAAGTTTCTCCCAACCAAAATAATTTTTTGAAAAAAAAAAAAAAAAAGACAAAAAGAATGTGTGGATGAATAGTTGTACCTGGCAGACGTATTCTTGGGAATATTCTAGAAATGAGATTCATTATTTGGTGTAGAACATACTCAGAAGGGCTTTTTCTTCAATGGCATTTGAAGCACAAATCAATAAATGCTTTACTGCTTCTTTCCTTCCACAGGGCCGAAGCATGTTGTTGTTAAGTTTGTGGTGAAATTCTTTCCACCGGACCATGCACAGCTCCAAGAAGAACTCACAAGGTTAGTGGTTTAAAAACAGGCTATTTATTGTAATGGCGTACAGAAGGAAAGAGAAAATCCATGTTCTAAGTTTATTAATTAGACATATTCATAATAACCGAGCCAATATCTGCTCTGTGCTTAATGATTTAAGCCTGCTTTCTCTCAGCTCTTCTTAGAAAAAATGGGAGGGCAGTAGCACACCGTGTTTCCCTGAAAGCCGGGGTTCTTGAAGGCCGTGTCTTGGGCTTAAAGCTTACACTGTCTCTTTTGATGCGAACTGGACTTACAGCTTGTGTACAGTTTTACTTTTCTTTTATATCTAGTAAATCCTGCGACAGTTTGGGGAAATAGATCTTTTTTAAAATACAATTAAAATGCTACTGAGGATTTTTATGTTTTGCTTCCGGGGCTGGGTGGATATGACATATGAGTGCAGATCATGTTCTGTGGTAGGTAACCGAGTAGGAGACACCTGACATCAGTCCTGCCAGTTCCTGACTGTGTGGCTGGAAGCTGCTTGTTCCCTTGTTGTTGTTGTTGTTGTTGTTGTTAAGTGCCGTCGAGTTGATTCTGACCCATAGCGACCCTGTATAGGGTTTCCAAAGAGCAACTGGTGAGTTTGAACTACCGACTTTGTAGTTCAAAAGGCTTTGCAGTCTGGCGCATGAACCCACAGCGCCACACCAGGACTCCGCTAGTTCCCTTATACCTCTACTAATTCATCTGTTACAAGACAGTTTAGAATGTTCACTTGGTCACAGTTGTTTTGAGGATGAGTAGAAGGAACTCTGAACGGATGTGTTATCATCAACATC